TATAACGGTTAATGTCACAGATCTTTCCGAGGAAGGATATTCATAAAGCAAGATTGATTAACGAGCTACAGACACAGGATGCAACATGTAGATGAAGAGAGCCTTCAATGCTATTCTTGGAAACCAAAAACTCGAAAGCAGTGGTTTAGAACAGCAACTACTTTGGGCCAACTCTCTTATCCGCAAAGTGAAGACTATGTTATGAAAGAGAACCCTCCAACCCAAAATGTCATTGCGACGAAGTTAGATACACCTTTTAATACAACTAACAAAGTAACAAACAACGGTTTGAAGTAATCGAAGGGTCAAAAACCAAAAGTTTATTAACTTCCAACCATTATACGAAATCAGCAACTGTTTTCGTGATAAAAATGGCCAAAGAAACTGGGGGTCACAACAATATCATTCAACACATACCTGTTATAGTTCACCATTACTGTTCCAACTGACTTTTTTCTTTTTGGTATAATAGAAATTGAAGTGTCGAGAACGACTGGTAATAGAGGAAGTTCTAAGAACTTTGAACTTCTTTCTTAAAAAGTGCAAATAACATTCACTAGAACTTTTAAAATATTGCAGTATTCATATCAACTATTATTTATACATAGTATCAACCTCAGTTGTTTATGGATGCAATCCTTTATAGGAAATTAGATATCTATTTAGTTCTTATGAAAACAAACAAACTATATTATCTTCCACAGCAACTCCAAATTTCATACAATGTATAGCTGAGGACCAGTCGCGATTATCTAAAATATGCTTTTCCCTCTCAAACTAAACTGTTTTGTTTGAGTCTGATGAAAATAAGCACATACATTTCTATTATTAAAATTAGAATACTTTAACATAACATAACGTTTTGGGACAACATGGGACCTATTGGTCCCTTTTCGGCTATCTCATCCTCTAAACTAAACCTATTAATAGATAAATTTAAACCTAAAATCTTAGAGCCAGCCCTGTTAGAAAAATATAACTGTATCAGCTGAAGATGACTCCTACCCTGCCAACATTTACATTTGGGTTCCCTAGTCCTACTGTTCTCACTGTTAAATATGAAAAATGATGATGCATCAACACTATCAATTCCCTTTACAATCTTAAACACCTCAATCAGATCCCCCTAAGATTTCTTTTTTTTCTTAGGAGTAAACAATTTGAGATATTTCAACATCTCCTCGTATGACAACCCCTTCGTCCCAGGCACCATTCTAGTAACCCTTCTCTGGACCCTTTCCAACAGTTTAATGTCTTTCCTAAGGAAAGGAGCCCAAGAGTGAATACAATATTTCAAATGTGGCCTAACCAGTGACCTATACAGTAAAATTATAACCTCTTTAGACATGAGTTCAATAATTCTATAGATACAACCTAAAATCCTATTTGCCGTACCACTAGCAACAGGACACTGCTTTGATCAACTGATCAACTATTACACCAAGATCCGTTTCTTTCATGACATTGTTAAGGTTATTCCAATCCAAATTATACTTGTAATACAAATTATGATAACCCACATGCATTATCTTACATTTATTATAATCAAAACCCATTTGCCATTTATTTGCCCAACTCACTCAATGATATAAATCCTTTTGTAAATCACAGCATCCTCTTCACAGCTAGCAACACCCACGATTTTAAAATCATCTGCAAATATAAGTAATTGATTTATGTCATTAATGTAAGTCAAGAAGATCAAAGGTCCTAAGACTAAGCCTTGAGGTACCCCACTTGTGACATTAATCCAGTTTGACTGAACTTCATTTATAACAACCCTCTGCTTTCTTCCATCCAGCCGTTCCTCTATCCAATTTGCTAACTTATTCCCACACCTAAAGAGCTAATTTTTAAAAGCCTTTTATGTAGCGCCTTGTCAAATGCTTTCTGAAAAATCCAAATACACCAAATCTACAATCTAATCTACATAAGCGGTAACCTTTTCAAAGAATGTTAAAAGATTTGTAAGACAAGATTTTCGCTTAGTGAAAATGTTGACTATCCAATAAAATTCTAAACTTTGTTAAATGACTTTGCAAAGCATTTTTAACAGACTTTCTAAAACGTTTACCACAACTGATATAAGACC